AGTGTAAAATAGGTACAAAAGTGATGATAAATTGGAAATTTTGCGTTTGGTGGGGCGCACCAACTACCCAGGATGGGTGGTTGGGCGCTTGGCACGGTTATATTATAATTTATAAAGGCGGAAACTCTAGCGGTGAATCTTATACATGTATTAATAAGCCTTGTCAAATTTGGTCCAAATCGGCTGCCGTAGTCGGTATCTTGCCAATGTCAATGCACAACGGCAAATTGGTTCAAACGCCGACAATCCACTCTAATACCCGACCAACAAATAGAAAAATGCTTAGGTAGCACCCCCATCACACCTACTTAGGCCTTGAAGGTAGGAATGTAGGTGGGAATTTACAACATAGGTAAGGAGTTCACCCCCACGACCCCCCCAGTTTCGGTTGATTTCGGTAACAGGATGTCCGAATGGTGATCTTCACCCTGAACTTCGATGTTGCTTTGTTTGTGAAAAGAGACAAGGAATTTCTAATCGACCAGACGACTTCGAAAGCAATTATCTATAAATATCAAGACTTGTTTGCTAACAGTCTTGGCTAACATCTGAGCTGCGCATAAAGACTTTCGTGGAGATGCGGAGACGTGGGGGATAATTGAGGGATCACGGGGCAACACGGGGAAACCAGATATTGATGACGTGGGATTCTGGAACTGACCATATAAATATGCCTTGATAGGCTAGACCCGAGGGATACTTAGATATTCCCCTAAACTGCAAGATCCCATCATGTCCAAACTAGATGCTGTTCAAAACGAAGCGGCAGAGCCCCAGAAGGGGGACAAACTCATGGATAATAGCGGCATTTTACGCGTCCCTTTGACCGAGGAAGACAGTAAGCGCATCTGCCACAAGACCGACCGGACAATTCTTGTTGTGCTCGCCTGGGTCTACTTCTTGCAGATCCTCGATAAGACAGTCTTGGGGTATGGAGCAACATTCGGGTTGCAGGCAGACACAGGCCTCACCGGTAATGAATATTCACTGATCGGCTCCATCGGACCCATTGCACAGCTTGTCTGGCAGCCCTTTTCTTCATACATAATTGTCAAAGTTCCTCACAGAATCCTGATGCCAATACTATGCCTTGGGTGGGGAATTGCGCAGACATGCATGGCTGTGTGCCACAACTTCAACTCCTTGATGGTCACTAGATTTTTTTTAGGGTTGTTCGAAGCTGGTTGTCTCCCTCTCTTTGGTATTATTACGAGTCAATGGTACCGTCGTGCAGAGCAACCGATCCGGATCGCCGCGTGGTATAGCACAAATGGTTTAGCAACCGTCGTTGCAGCTGCCTTATCATACGGACTGGCACAGATAAAGTCAGATGTGCTCAAATCATGGCAAATGTAGGAAAAAAAGATTTTCCAGCCCTCCAGAGTGGTATATTCTGACTCACGTTTAGAATTTTTCTTGCAGTTGGCCTAATAACTGTCGTATCTGCTCCAATTATCTACTGGCGCTTGGACAATGATATATCGACCGCTCGCTTTCTCAACGATAAGGAGAAAGCTCAAGGAATGGAGCGACTTCGAGCCAACCAGACTGGAACCGGAAACACCGAGTTCAAATTCAGTCATGTCCTCGAGGCGTGCTTGGAGCCGAAAACATACCTGTGGATTGGAATGACAATGCTTCTCAACATTGGCGCCAGCGTGACCAACGTCTTCGGCCCACTAATTATAAGTGGCCTTGGATACGATAAATACAGGACAACCCTACTTACCATGCCATTTGGCGCGTTGCAATTCATTATCATTCTGCTGGCAAGCTATCTTGCTCAAACCGCCCGAGTGAAGAGTGTTATCATCGCAGCCTTCATGCTGCCCGTAATCGCTGGTCTAGCAATCTTATATGCGGTAGCTAGGACTAAGTCTGTGCAGAACCAACTGCTTGCTGGCTACTACCTCCTTGCATTCTTATTTGGCGGAAATCCGTTGATTGTGACCTGGATCATCGGTAACACAGCTGGCACCACCAAGAAGTCCGTCATTATGAGTTTTTACAGTGCAGCAAGCTCGGCTGGAAATATTATTGGCCCGTTGCTCTTCAATGAGAAGGATAAGCCAGCCTACCACCTAGGTCTGCGGGCATGCCTCGGGATTTTCAGCACTTTGGCCGCAGTTATTCTTATCCAGTGGGCCAATCTATGGCTCCTCAACCAACAACAAGCCCGTCGACGTTTGAAGAATGGCAAGAGAGCTGAAATGGTTGACCTTTCGATGCAAAATAATTATCACGATATGCAGGACAAACTAGAGGAGGCTGGACATGAGACTGTGCAAGTTGGGGACAATGCGTTTCAGGATCTGACCGATCGGGAGAATGATGAATTTGTTTACATCTATTGAAGCTGGTCGGTATTCGTCCAATACGTTCAAGTTTACTGATCCTCTAGGCCAGTGAGTAGAGCGTCTCGTTCTTCTCTTTAGTTGAGCAGACTCACAAAGAGATGGAGGCCTCAGGCTAAATTTGTTGCCCTCGTCACCCATACACGACATGTGGACATGATGGTCAGAACATGGACGAACCGTGGGAGTGCATTTATCTCCTCTTCCTTCGCTTCTACTTTGTTTTTTGACTTCTCTGTGTGCTTTGCCTGCGGAAATTCCAGCTTTAATTTACGCCTCCTGACTAAAAAGGGATCGGGGAGCAAACAACAAAATATTATAGGCCACGTCAATTTGCCTCGTTTTGACCATTCACATACAATATGCGGCTATGGTCTGACTTTTCATATCCAAAGATTTGAGACTAAGACATAATTGACCGAGGCTCATGGCACATGGGAATGTGGTTCAGGGCTAAAGCGTGGGAATAATTGGGTGGAAAGGGTTTCATCTTGGAACCTGGTCTGGGTACGTAGTTTATCTCGGACATGACATCTGCTGTTGAGCGTAATAACTACTGAATCTGTAGCAGCATGATTAGTGAAGCGCATCTTCTTTCAAAGTTGTCTTGTGCAATGCCGCCCTATGATGCACCCCATCGGCCACAAGACACATTCTTACGATTCGCATGCTGACCTGCCACAAATGCTTTACACACCCCCAGAATGAAAATACGACAGAGCTATGACTTTCGGACTCGGAATCGGACTTCATATTTCAAACTGGACGGACCGCCAACTCCTGGGAGGAATGGATCTTAGGGTTCTCAAGATTGGAAGCAACAACAAGCGAGAAAATACGGGATTTTGCCCTGCATGCACGGTCAAAGTAATTGGATCCCCTGCCTGCGTGATAAGATGTCTCGTTTCAGATCACCAAATTTCCGGAGGCGTTCCTCGGAGTCGGAACTAGCTGAAAACAATGGCAAGCTGATGCGAGATGCGAGATGCGAGATTCGATGTCCGAACTGTCCTGATATGAAAATCAAAGCCAACGTCGGCATATTGATATGTACCGCTCTCCGTCACTAGCATCTAGAGTGCGAATTTTGCAGAGAAAGCTTGTCCTGATTGATACCCTATAGACCTTTCATTGCAACACGCAAAGTCACAAATTGTCTAGCCCGTGAAGAGTCAGTAAGGCCCGAGCTACACAATGACCGGTGATCTTCAGCATACCGGAGAACCCATTGCCATAGTTGGAAGCGCTTGCCGGTTTCCAGGTGATGCAACAACACCCTCGAAGCTGTGGGAACTACTTGAAGCACCTCGAGATGTTCTTACTGAGATCCCAGAAAGCCGATTTAGCACCAATGCGTTTTATCACCCCGATGGTCTTCACCATGGCACTACGAATGTCCGACATTCCTATATGTTATCCGATGATCATAGATTGTTTGACGCCCAATTTTTTGGAACCAAGCCAGTGGAAGCAAACTCGATTGATCCACAACAAAGGCTGTTGCTCGAGACTGTGTACGAGGGCCTTGAAACGTCTGGCATTCCCATGGAAAAGTTACAAGGCTCTAACACCGGTGTGTTTGTTGGGTTGATGACCAACGACTATGCCGATATGTTAGGTCGGGATGTGCAGAACTTTCCAACCTATTTTGCGTCGGGAACTGCCCGAAGCATACTATCCAATCGAATCTCCTACTTTTTTGACTGGCGTGGACCGTCGATGACTATCGACACGGCGTGTTCTTCTAGTCTGATCGCCCTACATCAGGCCGTACAGAGCCTGCGAAGTGGCGAGACTGATGTTGCGGTGGCAGCAGGGACCAACCTTCTACTAGGACCGGAGCAATACATTGCAGAGAGCAAGTTAAAGATGCTCTCCCCGACGGGCCGCTCGCGCATGTGGGATAAAGGTGCAGATGGATACGCACGTGGCGATGGAATTGCTGCCATAATACTCAAGCCGTTGAGTGCAGCATTGGCGAATGGAGATCATATTGAGTGCGTCGTTCGGGAGACAGGTGCCAATCAAGATGGTCGCACCAAAGGAATTACGATGCCCAGCCCTGAGGCTCAAGCAGACCTTATTCGGACGACGTACACTCGAGCTGGACTCGATCTTTCTAAGCCCACAGACCGACCACAATATTTCGAGGCTCATGGTACCGGTACGTAACATTAGCTTGATGGAGAGATAGACTTTCTGACCATATCAGGAACTCCAGCAGGTGACCCAGTCGAGGCAGAGGCCATCAGCACTGCATTCTTTGGAAAAGCAGCAAAATATCAGCGGGATGGTAACCGGGAGGATCCCTTGTACGTTGGGTCCATCAAGACAGTTATCGGTCACACTGAGGGCACGGCTGGATTAGCAGCTGTCCTTAAAGCCTCACTTGCTTTACAAAATGCCGTTATCCCGCCAAACCTATTGCTTAATGAATTAAGTTCCACGGTACTTCCCTTCTGCAGCGACCTTGAAATTCTTCAAGTCGCAAAAAAATGGCCACAACTGCCAGAGAACACCACTCGCCGTGCTAGTGTGAACAGCTTTGGCTTTGGTGGTGCAAATGCGCATGCGATTTTGGAAGCGTTCGATGCCCGCATGCTTGCTCGTGGTCCCAAAGTCGCAGATGATAGCTCTGTGGCTGTGTCACCATTCAATTTTTCTGCCTCATCAGAAAAGTCGCTTCTTGCCAACATTGCAGCATACTCGGCATATTTGCGAAACCATTCGGATATCAGCATCCGCGATCTGTCATGGACATTGAACTGTCGGCGTTCAACTCTGCCGGTAAGGCTGTCGGTCTCTGCAGCAAGCCCAGAAGAGCTTGCCACAAAGCTGGATGAAGCAGTTTTGTATTCTGCAATAACACCAGGTACACAAACGGGAAGTGTCCGCGAACCAAAACTCCTTGGAGTCTTCACAGGTCAAGGAGCACAGTGGGCAAGGATGGGTGCTGAACTACTAGAAAGCTCACCAATGTTCAGTGATTGTATCGCTCGTCTCGATCGCTCTTTACAGGAGCTACCCACGGAGCATCGCCCTGCTTGGTCGCTAAGGGAGGAGCTTGGAAAAGACAAGTCCTTGTCTCATGTTGGGGAGGCGGCGTTTTCGCAACCTCTCTGTACTGCAATTCAAATTGCTTTGGTTCAACTTCTCCGGGCAGCCAACCTCAAACTCACAGCGGTCGTTGGACACTCGTCCGGGGAGATCGCTGCAGCATATGCCGCAGGATACCTCAATGAAGAGGATGCTATCCGCATTGCCTATTACCGCGGATGGTCTCTGCAGTACGCTACAGACCGAGAAGGACAGAAAGGGGCAATGATGGCCGCGGGAACATCATTTCAAGATGCAAAGGAGCTTTGCGAGATGCCGACACTTGAGAACAGAATTTGCGTGGCAGCTAGCAACTCCTCGACAAGCGTCACATTTTCCGGGGACACTGATGCGATCAACGAGGCCAGGGAAATCCTTGAAGATGAGAAGAAATTCGCTCGCTTGTTGAAAGTAGACAAAGCCTATCACTCTCATCATATGCTTTCCTGCGCAGTTCCCTATATCGCAGCAGTCCGCAAGTGTGGTGTCGCTATTCAGCATCCACCTAGTGGCAGTGCTACCTGGATTTCAAGTGTTTATGGAGATAAAATTGAAAATGCGAATGACAATCTTGCCGACACATACTGGAGCAACAACATGATCAAACCTGTGCTCTTCTCTCAGGCCGTAACTTACGCAGTGGGTGTAGCTGGGCCATTTGACATGGCTTTGGAGATTGGTCCTCATCCAGCGTTGAAGGGGCCTGCATTGCAAACGATCCAAGAAGTCTCCGGACAGACATTGGCATATACCGGGACCTTAAATCGTGGCAAGAATGCTAATGAGGCTCTCTCATCCGCGCTGGGTGCCTTGTGGATTGCTTTAGGCGAGGGTGTCGTGGACTTTGCAGGGTTCGAAATGAAGGCAATGCGACAGCAAAAAATCCCACAGCTCATAAAGGGCCTTCCATCGTATTCGTGGGATCATGACCGGGTTTATTGGCACGAATCCAGATCATCCGTTGCGATTCGCACGGGAAAGGAACCATTTCACTCCCTACTGGGCATCAAATGTCCGGATGGGACCGAAAACGAGCTACGCTGGCGCAACTATCTTCATCCTAGGGAAGTTCCATGGCTGGCACATCACCAAGTCCAAGGTCAAATGGTGTTCCCTGCAGCTGGTTATATATCGGCGGCTGTCGAGTCTGTCATTCAAAAGTATGGCCTGGGTTCTGTGCAACTGATCGACTTCCATGATGTGGTCATCGGACAAGCATTGGTGCTCGAAGAGAACGATGGAGTGGAAACAATTTTCAGACTTTCGATCGACCAAGCTCAGGCTAATTGCGTGTCGGCGTCTTTTTCCTGTCATTCCGACGCCAACAAAGGGTCTCCAAACTTGTCTCTTCACGCATCTGCCAACCTGAAAATTGTTTTGGGTGAGCCCAAACACGACATCCTCCCACCACAAGCCCAACGGCAAGGTTCATTCCTGGATCTCGAAGCTGACCGATTCTACAACGCGGTTTCCGAGCTCGGATTTGGCTACACTGGCCCCTTCCAGGCGCTTTCTAATTTGCGCAGAAAAATGGACGAGGCATCGGGTCATATCAGCGTCCCAGAGGACTCCGAAAGCGAAAGACCGTTGATCATTCACCCAGCCTCCCTTGATGGAGCCATTCAGTCCATCATGCTTGCTTATTCCTTTCCAGGCGATGGACGTCTCCGTACACTGTACCTTCCCACTCGAATCGACAGGCTTCGCATCAATCCGACCGCCTGCATCACTCCTGGACCCCTCGGTGCAGAACTGTCATTTTATTCAACAGTTACGGATACCCGCTTCGCTGAACTCTCGGGCGATGTTGAAATTTACTCTGCACACGGGAGAAATACTTTGGTTCAGCTTGAAGGACTTCATACCACACCACTCAGTCCATTAATATCAACAAATGATGTTCCGTTTTTCACAGAAATCATCTGGGATGTTGACAGGCCCACTGGAGGGCAAACAAACAAAGCCCAAGATATGCATCCAGAAGGATATTCCCTAGGCATGGATCTTGAACGTGTTGCCCATTTCTACTTGAAACAACTCGAGACGTCACTTCAGCACTCCGATCGAGCAAATGCTACTTGGAACCATGCCCATTTTCTTTCATATGTGGAGCATTGTACAATGTCCGTGACTAATGGGAAGAACAAATTCGCAAAGCCGGAATGGGCCTATGACACCATGGACATCGTTGCTCCAATTTTGGATCGGTGAGAACAAGTCTCTTGTTGCGCGAACCCGAGCCACACTGACCGACCTACATAGTTATTCCGACAGTATTGACATCAAACTCCTATCTAGAGTTGGCGAAAACCTTTCTGAAATCATTCGAGGAGATAAGAATCTGCTTGAAATCCTGATGGATGACAACATGCTTGCAGAGTTTTACGCCAAATCATTTGGAATTGACACATACTTGAATGCTGTTGCGCAGGCGGCTCGCCAGATCAGCCATAGATACCCTCATGTCAACGTTCTGGAAATTGGTAAGTTCACGCGCGTTCTTTTGGGTCTGATACTGATAGATTACAGGAGCCGGTGCTGGCGCTACTTCGGATCGAGTCATGCGTGAAATGGGCTCGTCGTTTGCGTCATACACTTACACTGATATTTTAGACTCGCAGTTCGATGAAGCACGCGAAAGATTCCGGGATTGTCAATCCAGAATGGCATTCAAGGTATTGGACATCGAGAAGGACATCGTAGAACAAGACTATGAAGAGGGTTGCTTTGACATTATCATTGCCTCTCTAGCCCTCTACGCCACCAGAAATCTTGAAGCAACTCTGACGAATATTCGTCGGCTACTCAAGCCGGGTGGCTATCTGATTATGCTAGAACTCACAGACTCCGATGTGATGCGTTTCGGACTCATCCTTGGTGGCCTCCCAGGCTGGTGGTTAGGCTACGAGGAGGGAAGGACATTATCACCGTGTGTATCAGAGGACAATTGGGAAGGACTGATGCAAAATTCGGGCTTTTCTGGGTTTGAAACCCGCGTGTCGTCTTCAAAAACCGTCCCTGTGCCATTTTCCGTCATGGTTACACAAGCTGTTGATCACCGTGTCAGTTTCCTTCGTGATCCCCTGGCGGCTCATCATGTTCCACTTGGTGTGGACTCATTGACCATTATCGGAGGGAAAACATCCTTGACTGCTGATTTGGTAGCCGACATCAAAACTGCGGTCCGTCCCCATTACGGCAATATCTACACAGCATGTTCTCTAGCGGAACTAATTCTAGCAAACTTACCAGTGATGGGGTCAGTCATTAGTTTGATTGAATTGGATGGGCCAGTTCTAAAACACATGTCACCCGAGACTCTGAGGTCATTCCAAGAGCTTTTCAAACAAAGCAAGAACGTCCTATGGCTGGGACACGGTGCCCAAGGGGAAAACCCCTATGGCAACATGTTTTCAGGAGTTCAACGCACATTGGTCATGGAGATGACTCACCTCCATATCCATTTCCTAAACCTCCATTCACTGCAGGACGCTGATGCCAACATCATCGCAACAAAGCTCCTCCATTTAGAAGCTGCCGAAATTTGGGATCAACGAGGGCAGCTAGAAGGGATATTGTGGTCCAATGAGAGGGAACTGGTGCTAGAGAATGGGCACTTCAAAGTTCCTAGATTCCGCCTCAGTTCTGGCCGAAACGATCGATACAATTCCTCAAGGCGTCTCATAATCAAAGAAGTTGAACGCGCGGCGTCTGTTGTCACCATTCAACCAACAGAAATTGGATATCAAATTGAAGAAAAGAACCCTAGAGTCTCTCCCACTTCCCCGGATGAAATTAGGATTGAAGTGACTCACTCTTTGCTCCGTGCCGTCCCTATCACTTCATCGGATAACTCTTTCTTGGTGGTTGGGAAGAATAAGGGGAATGGCGAGCGTGTCGTCGCCCTGTCACATACTCTGGACTCTCAAGTTAGTGTACCGCATGGCCTGGTGGTGCGATGTGGAGATTCCGAAGACCTAGGAATTCGATCGATGCTCACCCTCTACTTCCATTTCCTTTCTATCTCCATGCTGCAACAACTTCCTTCTGGAAAAACTCTCGTTGTGTTGGACCCTGACCTCTCGCTATCTCCTGTCATTACGAAATATGCAAACGAAAAGGGCGTTCACATTGTGCTTTTGACAACAAAGGAGGGACATTGCTCGTGGCCATGGATCCGAATCCACCCAAACTCCACTCGACGTGAAGTACTAACCAAGTTACCTGGCAACGTTTCACGCGTTGTCAACATGGGTGGCAGCTCTGATGTCACTACTCTTCTGAAGACATGTTTGCCGACAGGCTGTCATTTTGAGAGTGAGAGCACGCTGACCACGACCTGCTCCCAATCTCAGGACATTTCAGATAGAGGCCAGTTAGCTTTACAGCTGCAGAACTCCTGGACGCGAGCACAATACGACCTGATGCCCGTCAAAATGCATAAACTTGTTTCTTTAGGACTCGGGGACTTGATACGAGCCCAATCCCCGCTTTCACAGCAGTCTTTAATTGCATGGGGTGAATCAAAGCTTCCTGTCCAGATTCGCCCTGCTACCAAACAGGTCACATTTTCAAAAGATAAAACCTACTGGCTAGTTGGACTGACAGGCGGGCTTGGCTTATCGCTTTGTCAATGGATGATCGGGCAGGGGGCACGATACATCGCGCTGTCAAGTCGCAATCCAAACGTTGATGACCAGTGGCTTCAGAGAATGGCTTTAAATGGGTGCACTGTTCGGGTCTTTTCCAAGTATGCTCTTCTGTTTTGCTTAAGTTCGGGATTAAGTTAACACATCTAGTGACATAACGAATCGGGAATCGGTTCAAGCAACATATCGAAATATCAGCGAAACCATGCCTCCCATCGCTGGTGTTGCACAAGGTGCCATGGTGCTTCAGGATACAATGTTCATTGATTTGGATCTCCCTCGCCTTGAGAAGGTTCTCCGTCCTAAAGTTGAAGGTAGCATCTTACTGGACGAAATCTTCCCGGAGGACACCTTAGAATTCATGGTTTTCTTTTCGTCGATGGCTGCGATGACAGGAAACCCTGGACAAGTTGCCTATAACGCCGCGAATATGTTCATGGCGAGCCTGGCAGCCCAGCGCCGAAACCGTGGCTTGGCAGCGCATGCGATTAACATCGGTGCCATTGTTGGTAACGGTTATGTGACACGAGAGCTTAACATGGGACAACAATCTTACCTATATCGAGTCGGCCATTCATGGATGTCTGAGCAAGACTTCCATGAGGTATTTGCCGAAGGTGTCCTGTCCTGCTTAGACCGCGTAGGAAGCGCTGAGTTGTGCTGTGGGCTAAGAATTGACGATGACGAGTCAAAGAGTTGGGTTTCTAACCCAATGTTCCAACATCTCGTCTACAAGTCTAGCAATCTTGTCGTGGCAGACACGAAAGGGAAATCTGGCGTGTTGATCAAAACACGCTTGTTTGAGGCTACTTCAAATCAAGAGGTTATCGAGATCTTGCAAGGTACGGGCATCGAAAATTCTATTAACAGTCGAAACTGAGTGTTTTTCTTTTAGATGGCTTCGTGTTGAAGCTCCAATCGGCTCTGCAGGCTGACCCTAATAAGCCTATGTTGGACAGGAGTCCAGATGAACTCGGTGTGGACTCGTTAGTCGCCGTTGACCTTCGATCATGGTTCTTGAAGGAGTTGGGCGTTGACATGCCGGTACTCAAGATATTCAACGCAGCTTCCATTCGTGAGCTTTTGGCTACTGCTGCTGAAGTTCTGCCAGAATCCTTGATTCCCAATCTTACTGCCGGCAACCAGGCTGTAAAGCAACCGGGGCCGAACACCACTGACGTGTTGAACAAGGCAGCCTCAGATTTTCCCGTGGCTGCAACGGCATCCCCCGCGGACTTGCCGGTGGAAATGAGATTTGCCCTTCCAGACGCAGTAAACGCGTATAGTGGCAGCTCCGCGACGTCATTAATAACTGGAGATTCGAATTCCGAAAATAATGACGACACTTCCTCGTCCTTTTTTACTGATGATAGCGAAACGAGCCCTGAAAAGCGTGAAATCCAAAGAACTGTGCCTATGTCCTACGGGCAGTCGCGTTTCTGGTTTTTAGAGCATTTGGTAGAGGACAAGACAGCATTCAACATTACACCGACGTTTAAGTTGACAGGTCGCCTAAGAATCGAGGAATTTTCGAATGCTATACAAATCACGGCACAACATCACGAGGCTTTGCGTACTTTCTTCTTCACTGACAATGAGCGAAATCACATGCAAGGCATTTGGACAAAATCATCCTTGCGTCTGGAGCACGATGCAATCTTGGACGAGATGGAAGTAGAACAGGCCTCGAAACAGATGGAGGCACACGTGTTCAAACTTTCAGATGGTGAGATCATGCGTGTTCGGCTGCTTTCGCTCAATCCGGAAAGGCACTGGATAATATTTGGCTTCCATCACATCAACATGGATGGCATTAGCTTCGAGATATTCTGGTCAGATGTGGAAAAGGTGTATCAAGGCCAAACTCTTTCCGAAGATGGAATTCAATATCCAGATTTCACTATCCGGCAGCTTCGTGAGTACAAAGAGGGCGCCTGGACAGAGGATCTCGCTTACTGGCGAGCACAATATACGGAGATTCCACCTGCGATTCCCCTTCTTCCATTTTCCTTACAACCCGTGCGGCCCAAGGTTGCTCAATTTGGGTCTCATACTGCTCAGGTTCGTCTTGATGTCAATTTGTCGGATTCTATTGATCGTTGTTGCCGGATGTTCAAATCAACACCCTTCCACTTCCATTTGGCAGTATGGAAGACACTCCTCCTACGGTTCTTCGATATGGAAGATGTTTGCATCGGCCTGGGGGATGGGAACCGAACGGATGCCGACATCCTTCGGAGTATGGGACTTTTCTTGAATCTCCTTCCTGTGAGGTTCTCTCAGCAGCCAGGCCAATCCTTTGGAGAATCTCTAAAGGAGGTGCGAAACATCACGCAGGATGCATTTTCTCACTCGCGGGTGCCATTTGATGTGATCTTAACAGAACTCAACGTTCCGCGATCCGCATCACATAATCCCCTTTGCCAAACCCTCTTCAACTATCGACCCAAGGTCGAGCAATCTCGAAGCTTCTGCGGTTGTGTAGCCGATGGTGCACTTCTGAGCGGCGGGGAAACCTCTTTTGATCTTGGTCTGGATGTTGGCAATGTCGGTGCCGGCGAGACTCTTATTCATCTATCAGCCCAGAAAAGCTTGTATGGAATGGACCATGCTGAGATCCTTCTCAGATCTTACGTCACTCTTCTCCGGTCTTTTCTTCAAAATCCAGCTACTCGTGTGACCTGGCCGGAATTACATTCCAAAGATGACCTCCAGCAGGCAGTGGCGGCGGGCCGAGGCAAGTCTATTAATCCTTTGCCTGGTATCCATATTTTGCTAAAACCGTAGAACAACAGGACCGGAGCTCCGACGCGAATATGCTATCACCATCGTTCACCGCCTGGATGAAGTTGCCTTGCGCTACCCGGACCGTGTCGCATTGAAGAACCACGATGGCAGCTCCTCAAGTTACGCCGAAGTTCAGTGTCGGATCGACGTTATCGCCAATGAGCTCTTACGCAACGGAGTTTGCCCGGGTACCCGCGTTGGGGTTTTCCAGTCCCCAAGTGCAGACTGGATATGTTCTCTCATGGCCATCTTGCGTGTCGGTGGTGCTTACATACCCCTGGACAAGAAGGTGGGGATGAACAGGCTCGCCATGATCATTAAAGAAACTCAATTACCCATGGTGTTGGTTGATACAACTTCCTTGTCTGATTATGCGCATTTGCACACCACGGCGAAAGCAATCGACGTACGTAGCCTAAACGGTTTCACTGCACGTCCCGTCCGAAACATGGCTGTCCCAAGCAAGACAGCGGTGATCATGTATACGAGTGGATCAACCGGTATCCCAAAGGGGATTATGATTGCCCATTCGGCGTATGTCCACCACGTTCAGTCCTCCAGCGATGTCTGGGAACTGGAGCAGGGAAGCGAGACCATTCTACATCAATCATCCTATGCGTGGGATGCGTCTTTGTGGCAGATCATGGTCTCTCTATGTTCTGGCGCGACCCTTGTGATTGCACCCGATATTACAAGAGGTGATCCTGTTGCTCTAACACGACTTATTGCATCAGAGAGCGTCACATGCACCCTTGCAACGCCAACGGAATATCTTGCTTGGGTGCGTTATGGCCGCTCCCACCTCATGAACTCTTGTTTGTCGACCGCAGTATGTGGTGGTGAATTCATGCCAAGTAGCCTGATCAAAGAGTTTAAGAACCTCCTTCGGCCGGACCTTAAACTGATAAATGCCTATGGACCGGCTGAGATCAGTGTTGCATGCTCGGGTAGTGAAGTCCCATACAACCTGCTGGATTTGGAATCTGCGCCAGCGCTTTACACTCTTCCTAATTACTCTGTTTACATTGTTGACAAAAATTCAAATCCCGTTCCCATCGGAGTTCCTGGTGAGGTGGTTGTTGGTGGTGCAGGAGTTGCGCAGGGCTACCTTGACGGCACCAGAACATCTGAACGCTTTTCAAAAGATCTATACGCGAGCAACTTTTTCCAGGAAAAGGCCTGGACAACAATTCACCACACTGGAGATCGCGGAAAGCTCAATCGCGATGGTGGTCTCACTCTCCTGGGGCGCCTTGACGGGGACAATCAAATTAAATTGAGGGGAATTCGCATCAACATTGAAGAAATTGAGGCGGCCATCGTCAGTTCTTCGGCTGGGGCTATCACACAAGCTGTTGTGTCCATTCGTTCAGATGCAACCCAATCTGAGGGTGAGCAATGTCTTGTTGCCTTTGTTATAATGGCTACCACCCACAATTCTGAAAGTGTAGTTCAATTTCTCGCGCGCCTTTGCCAAGATCTGCCACTACCGCGTCATATGCTACCCGCTGCCATCATTCCAGTTGAAAAGATTCCCCAGAATACCTCGGGGAAGATTGATCGCGTCGCAGTTAGCGAGCTTGCCGTTCCGTTGATTTCATCCCACCTGCCGGATGACAGCACTCTCACTGCATTTGAACGGTCATTGCGTCAGCTTTGGCAACGAGCACTACCACGGGAACTCGGTAACTTTCACTCAATAAATTCCCACTCCGATTTTTTCCACGTTGGTGGAAGTTCCCTCGCCCTTGTCAACCTGCAATCTCTAATCAAGGAGAATTACGGTGCATCTATTCCATTGTATCAACTTTTCGAGGCCAGCAGTCTACACAGAATGGCAGCAAGGATCCAAGACATATCTCGCCCTGTACTTGAGCTAGATGTGAATTGGGATACAGAGGTTGAAGTCGCATCCGACCTTACTTCATCTCTGTCCGGTGATTCCGGGCCTAAGGCTTTCGGGGTCAAGACGGTTGTTCTTACAGGAGCTACAGGATTCCTAGGGAAAGAAATTCTCCGGAGACTCATAGATGATTCAAATGTCTCGTCCATCCATTGTATTGCTGTGAGGAAAAGATCCTTGGATTCACCCGAACTATTTGCTCATCCGAAGGTTGAATTACACTATGGTGACTTGGGGGATCGTCAACTAGGACTCTCAGAGATTGAAACCCTATCGATATTCTCCTGCGCAGACATTGTTATCCACAATGGTGCGGATGTGTCGTTCATGAAAACCTATCAGACGCTCAAGCCAATCAATGTGGAGTCGACGAAGGAACTCGTCAAACTTGCACTGCCCCGGCGCATTCCATTCCATTTTGTCTCGTCGGCTGGGGTTGCGCGACTTTCTGCCCAAGAAAGCTTTGGGGAGACATCTGTCTCGTCATATCCTCCTCCTTCTCGGCCAACAGATGGATACATCGCTGCCAAATGGGTTAGCGAGGTTTATCTAGAGCACATCAACCACAAATTTGGTCTCCCCGTATGGATCCACCGCCCATCCAGCATCACCGGTACCGATGCGCCAGAACTGGATCTTATGGATAATCTCATGCGGTTTACCAAAGAAACCCAGAAAGTGCCAGACTCGAGCTCATGGTCCGGAGTCTTTGATCTCATTTCTGTACAGTCAGCCGCAAGGCAACTCCTCGAGGCCATTCATCAATCTAGCGTCGCTGAATTGGCTACAGGGTCTGTGAGATATCTTTATGAATCCGGTGAGATGAAAATTGGACGTGACGAGATGATTCCCTTGATGGAATCGGAATCGGGCCAAAATTTCCAGATGGTTTCCCTCGACGAGTGGGTGAATGCTGCTGAACAAGCAGGAATGAGTGTGTTATTGGGAGAGTACTTGCGGCAGGCCTCTGATGGCCAAGTTCTCCTCCCCAGGTTGATTAAAAATGCTGGATTTGAGGATTAATGAGGATTTACGGGACTGGAAATTTGGAGAGCCAATTAGTTGCCCACCTTTACACAAGCAGTTCAACTCCTCTATGCATGAATGAGAAGATGCATAACTGAGCTGTTCTAAGATTTTTCATCTAAACAATCCCTTTCATTATCTGCAATGACAAGCGAATTGGGTTTGAGTTAATCTTGTCAGGATGTCTTTCCACGGTCATATGTAAATTTCCTAGTTCTACAATTTCACATCTCATAGTTCCCGGCGCTTATTGCAGCGGAATTAGTTCTTCAACCAAGAAAACATACGCAACGTGCATTTCAGGGCAAAAATCAGTGTTCCTTGTTATTTCCTGTTAATACTGTCGGAAGGAAAGATTTTTTTAGGGGGAATAGTCCTTCTCATCATCATGTATGAAATGGCAATTAGGACGGAGTTAAATGACCGCCTCCCGGAGGCGGTCAGTATTGCCGTCGGGCCAGGACTATATGTTCTTACCCTTCATGTTTTATTAGTTTCCCAAGAGAAGAATCCATCCTAGGAGTTCAGTTTATCTCTTTCACCCATCAGTTTGCTTCAAGTCCTTTGGATTTTCCCTTCTGTCGGAAATCAGTAAACTGGTCCATCTGGAAGGCATCTGGCAAGGATCTCTGGAGGGGAAGCTGACTCGCTGAGGGTGGGTCAGGTTTCGGCCTGACAAATACCTGTCTTCTGGAAAAGGAGAATCAAAATGAGAGTCACTTGACTGATTTTTGTGTCAGCACCCGTGCATGGTTAACCTTTCGCTACAATATAACAAAGTCTTGTTGGGGAACTAGTGATTGCTTAGGTAATATCCGATGTACTCGGAGGTCAACACCGAGAGCCGAGAGCGGTTTGAATCACTTTTCTCTCTCTCTTTTCCACGTATCGCTAAATCTCACATTGAAGACCCGACTATGTAGTCAGCACTGGAGATTTGAATGCAAGATCTTATAATCTAAACCACCCCAGAAGTCCAAGATTTGTTGCCCTCCTGGGCTTCGATGGTGTTTGCCCTTTTGAATTGGACGAACTTGTTGTTTTGCAGTGGGTCAATATACAGTCAGTTCATTGTTGTGACATGTTTCAGCGGCACAGGACACGAGCTACATTGATTACATTTCCCAACTTTCTATGGATTTGAAAATCGAGGGTCAAAACACCCCCTTTACACCAGCGTTAATATTTATTTTGTTGATTCATCATGATTATGCAGAGAGAGAGAGTCTACACTCGAGGTAACCTTAGCATCAAGTCCCCCTTTCCCCTCCTAGATACTTATTTCTAACTAGATGGGCAACCTTGTAATACTACATCCACTACAGTACTATATAAAGTGTACAAATTCCCTGAACAACACTTGGAAATGTCAAGACGGATGTTATGACACGAACTGATCTCTTCGTTCCTAGAATCTGAACTTAAATTTGTGACTTCATTCTCACACCTCCCAACCTTGTTAGTAATGGAAACAGACAGAATCACAAAACCTTCCGAATCAATCAGTCTTAAATGTCTGAATGCAGCCTAATTTTAATTCCATTGCTGCTATACAAAACAAGACACATTGCATGCAAAGGAAAATTGCATCAGGGGGTGTTACCATTTTTGGCTAGCAGTGAAAGTACCCCAATAATCATTTCAACCCTGGGAGCACTTGGAACAGATTCGAATTACCAACGAACGGTAAAATCGACGTTATCGTGGCGACCCTAAGGCCCAGTTATCATGGGTAGATGTCTAAAAAGGCAGGGGTTGCAACTTTGACCGGAATCGCCTATTTTAAACCCATCGTTCTATGCTCAGTGAGTGCAGTTTTCGCGGTAATTTACATTTTTCTTGAATTTTTCTTTGGTGATCACTCTTGCCTGGTGTGTCGTACGGTAAGACGGTTTTTTTTTTGAAATATAAAAGTCTCCTAAATTCTTTGTTGGAATTCTCCCAGCATTCTCTTTTTTTTCAATCATAAGATGGCAACCCGGGATGAACTGCCCTCAAGTCAGACCAGCATCATTCAACATGGAGGCGGCATTCTTCAAATCACTCATGGTTTGCCTATCCCAGAAATCGGGCCCCATCAAATGTTAGTGAAGACTGCTGCTGTGGCTCTTAACCCCTGTGATTATAAAATGCCATTGAGGTTTCCGACTCCTGGTCTCTGGAATGGATGTGACTTTTCAGGCACTGTAGTTGCGGTAGGAAGCGAGGTTGCTGCACAGGGACGATTCCGTCTCGGGGATCAGGCCTTCGGTGCTGTTCAAGGCTCAAATCTGTCAGATCCATCGTCTGGAGCCTATTGCGAGTACATTCGAACCGAACCAGATCTTATTTTCCATGTTCCTCAGGGAATGGACCTTGAAAATGCCCCTTCCCTCTCAGGAACCGCAATTGCGACTCTTGGGGTTGCTCTTTTTTGGTCACTTCAATTGCCCGGAACATTGCACACACCGGCACCCAAAGCCGAGGATGTTCTCATATACGGCGGAAGTAGCACTATAGGGCTACTTGCAATTCAGATGGTGAAACTGTAAGGATTAAGTTTCCTTCCTACGGCTTTCGGCATATTAAAGTAACTGATCCGTCTTGCTTAGCTGCGGCCACCGGGTGATCACCACATGCTCCCATCACAACCACGACTTGGTGACATCATACGGAGCAGATATAGTCTTTGATTATAACTCTCCAACTTGTGCCGAAGATATTCGAGCGGCCACAAACAACACTTTGCGCTTTGTCCTTGATCCGTTTGCGGAAGCCAAGACTCTGCGGTTGTGTTATGCAGCCATCGGTCGCACTGGAGGAAAGTACTGTGCACTCGAGCAATATCAGGAAACTCTCTGCTCGAGAAAGACAATCAAACACGAACTAGTCATGGGAGGTGCCATTTCTGGACGAGGTGTTGAGCTCCCAGCCCCATACGGCATTCCACCAAGACCCGAGATTGGGGTCTGGGCTCGGTCATGGTACGCAGAACTCCAAGAATTGATCAACAGTGGAAAGCTTAGACCCTGTCCAATCCAAAATGTTCCGGGCCAATTTGAAGGGATCTTGGAGGGCTTGGACATGCTACGAAATGGAAAGGTTTCTGGGAAGAAGCTCCTCGTCAGCATAACCACGAAATAAAAGCTTGCAATGAGTTCGAGGCCTAAAAGAAGCATCACCTAGTTCACAATTACATGTAAAAACATAAATATCTTGATCGTGTCTCTTTTTAAACATGAGATTAATCTCTCCGTCGTTCTTTGTAGTTCTGGTGGTAGGCTAGTATGTGATAGATAGGCTTCAGACATAGTAAGGTCTCTATAATCTGCTAACTCCAATCGAAAAAAGTGACATCACTTAGCCCAAAGGACTGATGATACATACGCGTGGACCCTTTTTTTGCTCAGATTTAATTTTTGTTCTATCTCGCCAACCAAGGGCCACACGGCTCTCAAAAATTGTTCAAATTCTTTCTGATCTCCGGCTCTATCTTTTGATCCTATTTTCGTAGGAATCGAAGGATGGTTGGTGCTGGTGGTGGAAGGAAACCGGATTCGCCCCCCGAAACAGAGTTTTCAAGAGCGCCCCCGAAGAAACCACGCAACCACTTTGGCACTATGAATGAGCTTGCTCGGGGCGCCAGAGAGGTGCTAAATACCATAGAGAACGACGGCGTTATGTTACGGACCTACCCGTCACCAATCAGTGGTGACCCACCGGGTACACAGATGGGCCACCGAGAGCCAATCAAGCAATCACGTGATCACAGGAGGAGTAAATCCCTGCACGGGGTAGGATATACTCAGAGGGGTCGATCTACCCCGGGGTGTAGGATATACCCCAGGAGCACTGGCGACCCCAGGAAGCGAAGGATATATAAGGACACTCTCTCATGTACTTAGTTTAGTTCTTCGTCTTCAATCATACTGTTGGAAGGTCACGTGACCACCACTGTTTGCTCCCAGTACTTAGTCTCAGTCATAGCATGTAGATAGTTTCTCTCTCTCTCTCAACGCATCAAGAGATTTCCAGTTACATCTACATTCATCGTAGATCTCTAGTATCTCTAACAGGTTATGAGCCTCGCGCTTTCGAGTCCTCTACATAACTGTACAGACTCGAAACCCTGGTTTTCCTCCCATTGGTGTACTGCGTCGCACCACCCCACTGTGGAACCTCTGTGGTCTCGTTTTGACCCCACAAACCAGAGTTTTCATCACCCTATTTG